CACGAAGACATCCGGGAAACCCCATACCGTGACAGCAGCCCAAGGCAACTCACCACTGTTGACAGCACGTTGCACCTTCTCCACAATAGTCGAGCAAAACGGGGCCGCAAGCAGACCCCGCCACCGCACGGTCGTGATCTCGCTATCTGGCTCACACTCAAATGAATCAGGAATACCCGTGAATGTCGACACATACTCCTCCGGCTTCTGTCGCTGCAGCAAGTCGGTCAGCCCACACGCCACGAGTCCCAACCAGTCGTAAGCCTCCTGCAACGACGTTCGAAGCGTATCGCCATCCTCTTCCGCATGTTCTTCGTTTGCACCCAATTCCGTGTAAAACGCGCCGAACTTGGGCAGGAACACGTCGCTGAACGTCGTTATCTTGGCATTCAATTCCACACGCGAGCGCGGTATCTGATCATCGTCTCCGAACAAGATCGTGCGTGCCGATCCACGCTGGTTGTACGCGCACAGTAGCATGTCAAGATCCTCCAGTTTCGAGTTTAGACATTTCCTTACTCGATCTCTAAAGGTATTTCCTCCTTCTTCGGTGAATGCAGACGACGTTAAGTCCAGCGTGATGACGTACTTCTGTGCTCGCTTTACATGTGCCGACCTGCTGGTGGTTGGTATGGACTTGCCGTACTTCTCCCCTACGATGCCCAATTGCTGGTACGTCTCTACGTCCACCAACAGCAGCAACTGGCCCGACGGCAGCAGCATCGCCGACTGTGACGCATCCACCGGAGCGTTCTTGGCTACCATGAACACGGCGCCACCGTCCGTCAGATACTCGCGGATGAAGGTCGGCGATAGAAACATGTCGACTGGCGCCTTAATTTCGTAGTAGAAACCCGTTTCCCATTGGAGCGACTGCGCGGCAGCTTTCCCAGCTTTGGACGGGAGATAAACTTCGAGTTGCTGGTTGACGGCGTGGCCATTGATAACGCTCTCGTGGCGAGACGCGGCATGTGTGAAGTGCGAGTGCCACACAAGCAGACGAGAGGAGGGGTATGCAGTATCCGAGCTACTCTGAAGCAGCGCGCCGGGGCCCTGGAGCCGAGCGCGGCGCTGCCGGCGAGGCTTCTTGCCTCCACTCACCATGTTTAGAAATGGCTACATTACGTCGGATGTGAATCAATGTGCACAACATAAGTTTGATGTGGTACATACCATGTTGAGCAATCAGCACTGAAGCTGAGACTTGTGTCAAGTCCTCACAAACTTATCTTGCCAATCCGTCGATGCAAACAGCAGCTGGCCGGAAATTGAACTTTCAAAATCGGTTATCCCGTTGAAATCAATATGGGTTTGCCACTTGACATATTGAAGACACTTCATTCTAACAAGCGACACACAACTGTAAAAGGTAGTGCTTCTAGCGTAGGAGACTTGAGGAGTTCAGGAAGAATTTAATTGTGATTGAGAAAGTTAACTGTCGAAACCTTTGTGGCTTGTGCTCCAGTTATTGCTCTTCCTGTAAATAAGAATAAACTATTTTTGATCACTTTGAGGAGGGTGATGTGTGAACATCTTTTAAGATCAGTCGCATGTCTCTGTTGAGTCACAACCTCTGACAGCCTCTCTGGGTCTGAACAGAGACGTTCTCGACTGTCTGATTGCAGCCGTCTCATCGAGGCCCCTGCCGCAATTTTTCGGTATTGCCTACTTCTAGATCTTATCTGGGTAGGAAACTTAGAAGGCTATATCGCTGAGGAGATCTATACCTCTGCGTTGTAGTGTGCTTGGAGTAAAGTAGATAACGACAATTTCACTTCTCATTTTCCAACTTCCTCTCGAGTCAAGCCTCAAGTTCCTAGGATCTCAGATTCCCTGTTTTAAGGTCAGTACTGCCGATTAGTATAATGTGCTTAGTCTGTGATCTGTGCTACAGTTATGAAGAGCTGAGGAACTATGCCCCCTCTACCTTTTGTTAGTAACGGGAGTGCTTCGGCACTTACGGTTCATCTTTCCTTGGCTCGGATGACTAAAGTCAGAGATGTGGACTCGAGCTGAAATTTGGTTTTGTTTATATCGGCATTATTAACCCTTTTTATTTAGTTAGTTAGTTAGATGCCGGTATCTCGCCGAGTTTCTGTACTGTGCCAGCACCAGGGAATGCTGAGAAATCGCTATTCGATGTGCGGTCTCCTCTCGATCAACAACAGCCTTCAGCAGAGGGACTTTCTGACCCCCGCTACCATGAAACCTATTTTGGCAAAACTGGCACTGGTGAGACCTAATGAGGACCATGACCACCCTTTATACGGGGCCTACACAATGGATGCCCTTCAAAGGGGCTGCAGAAAAGGCGGAAACAGCTGCGGTTCCTCAATGTCAAGGCAAGTTTCAAGAGCCGGGCCAGGCGACCTGCCTCCTTGATTTGGAGTCGTCGACCGGCACTTTTGGTGATTGGTCGCCGGCCAGGGCACCTGGCACTGCATTGCCCAAGCCTTAGTTGGTAACAAATTTGTCTTCATCGACTCTGACAACTACCGCTACTTCCCAAATCGTGAGGATCTTCTTACAAACTTTTTCGAGACAATTGATGGGGTGTATGCAGTTGAGAACAGGCCCATGTAGTTTTAAGTTTAAAATTCAATTTTTTGTTTTGCTTTTTTATCGTTTTATTAAGAAATTCAAGTTTTGTTCTTTTACTTGTGAATGTTTGTGCATCGGATTTTGCTCCGTTTAAGAGGAATATCTTACTTTTATGGATATTTAGAATTGTAATAAAAATCACACCAGCACTTAAGAACTCCAAAACAAAAACAAAAAAAATTGTTTTTGTTTTGGAGTTCTTAAGTGCTGGTGTGATTTTTATTAGGTTCATTGACAAAGTGCGTTTCTTAACTTTGTAAATGCTGGTCTTGCTAAAGATTTTGTGAAAATGTCAGCTACCATGTTTTTTGTGTTACAGTATTTAATCTCAAATTCTTTTCGTTCCACTTTCTCCTGCACGAGACAGTATCTAATGTGAATATGTTTACTTCTACCATGCAACTCAGGGTTGTATGAAAGCTTAATGCAACTTTAGTTGTCCTCATATAGAGTGATTGCATGTGGGCTTTTGTGGTCTAGTTCGACGAGTAGAAGATTTAAGAAAATGACTTCTTGCATGCAGTGGCACAGAGCGCTGTATTCTGCTTCTGTTGTGGATAACACAACCGTGTGGTGTTTCCGATATTGCCATGAGATTGGGCTTCCGCATATATATGTGATGTATCCTCGAACAGCTCGACGAGTATCAGGACGTTAGCGTAGTCTGCATCTCAGAAGGCAGATAGATACTGCTGTGCTTTATAGTCGGTCTTGGCGTTGCTGGATGAGGCGGAGGAGTGCGACATCCCTCGCTCTGCGAAGCCTAACCTACAATTCCGTCCGAGTTTGCATCGGGACGGAAGAGCTCGTTTTTCTCGCTGTAAACAGAGCGGTCGCCACGGAAGGGAGTTCCAGTGGCGTCGAACCACGACGTCTCCACCTCGATCTCGATACGCTCTTGGTCGAATGGAGGCTGACGAACGAAGCCTGCAAAGTCGTTGTCGTCGGCGTCGTCGTCGGCTCTGCCCTGCCAAGGCAGAATTTGCTCAGCCTCGTGGGTGGTAAAGCCAAACACTTCATCATCGGCCAGATCGGTAGCGCGTGCTGCATTTTCACCATCACCTTGATCCTCACCTTGATCCT